TTTTCCTACAGCACTTGTAGCTCTCCCAGCACACTGAGCATATTCTCCTGGGTGTCACAGTCATTTGTGCATGCGGTTTAGTTCTTTTACTGGACTGTAAGATCCTTGAACTAATTCATCTTCTTATTTTTCCATCCCATCACGGCAGAGAGAAAACTAGCTTGTACCTTGTTGGGACTCTCTCTCTCTCTCTCTTTTTTTTTTGTGGCTTCTCCTCCAAATGTTTCTTGCTTTGAAAATCAAATTGTTGTACCATCAGTTTTTCTCAATCTAAACTCAAAAGTTTGGATGACAAGGGTTATCCTTGGTCCCAACACTTGTTTTGTAATGAAGTTCTTCGGTCTTAGAGCTTTTAATGATGCAATATTTTTGAAAGCTATTGTAAGCATTTTCCTTTATCACATTGTTTAAAGGAGGTCTAATTTTGCTTTCTGCAACCTTGCAACAGCAGGTCAAAGGTAATCTGGAACGTTTTATAACTTATCTGGGACTCAGTTTTGCAACAGAGAGTATCTTTAACTGTTACTAAAGCCTTGTATCAGAGTAGTGCCTACACGGTGGGAGCCTCGCATGGCTGTGTTGAGTTAGACAGTGTATATACCCTGCTAGTGAGCTGACGAGGGGACCTTCAGGAGACCTGGGTTATCTACCTGGTAGAAGAGCTAGTTTAATGATGGTCTTGATGCTAGGATAAATGGAAACAGAACAAATGTACTATTTCAGTTCTCTTTTGTAGGTTTTTATAAACTATCCCATATTGTGTGAAATAAAATATATTTTACTGTCTCACCCATATTCTGTATTTGGAAAGTTGTGTGAGAAACTACTGGCCCAGCCAGTTGGCTTTTATTAATTACAACATTGATACAGGTTCTTATCGTTGAAGACAATTTTTCCATGTGATTACCTAGATCATACCCTGCCCTGGAGAATGATCATGACATGTACAGCAGAGAGAAAGTCATATTCTCCGGGAAACAGTGCTGCTGCTTGATTCAGGGAAGTGTTTGTGAGTCTTGACTTTCTGTAACTACAGTAAAATTGGAAGGAGTAATTGAGTACTGAAATTCCTGTACTCAACCCTGCAGGGTTGAGTCCTGTTAAGTTTTATAAAGAAACCCCCAAATTCAAAACAACTGGATCAATCCTCATGATAAATGCCTCTGTGCTGGTCCTTTACATATACTGCAGAATTTAACTGACAGATGGAGCTCAAGAGCTCTTACTAGCCTACAAGCCCTGGGCTGAAATTCAAAGTATGGAATCAAACTCACATTTATGTATCATGTTCAAGATGGTGTGATAGAATAAACAGTGCCTCGTGAGAAAAAAAAAATCTGGGTTCTATCTCTGCCTTTCTGTTCCTAACTATCCACTTGACCATGGGCAATTCATATCATCCCTCTAGGCCTTTGTTTATATAGTTATACGACAATGGGAAGGCCAGTAGCGGTGGCTCATGCCTCTAATCTCAGCACTTTGGGAGGCCAAGGCGGGTGGATCATGAGGTCAAGAGATTGAGACCACCCTGGTCAACATGTTCGTGAAACCCCATCTCTACTAAAAACACAAAAATTAGCTGGGCATGGTGGCGGGCATCTATAGTCCCAGCTACCTGGGAGGCTGAGGCAGAAGAATGGCTTGAACCTGGGAGGCGGAGGTTACCGTGAGTCGAGATTGTGCCACTGCACTCCAGCCTGGGCAACAGAGCGAGACTCTGTTTCAAAAACAAACAAACAAACAAACACACAACAACAACGAAAAACAATGGGAAACTAGACTGTTTCTCAAAGCCTAGTCCTCAGACCATTTGTTTCAAAATCACCTGGGGTTGGGGGTGGGATTTCTTATAAAAATACACATTCCTGGGCCCCAACATAGTCTTACTGAATCAGCATTTTTGGGGATGATCTCGGAAATTTTATTTTTTTGTTTTGAGACAGGGTCTCACTCTATCACCCAGGCTGGAGTACAGTGGCACAATCACAGCTCAGCACAGCCTCAACCTCCCAGGCTCAAGTGATCCTTTCACCTCGGCCTCCCCAGTATCTGGGACCACAGGCACTCACCATTATGCCCAGTAAATTTTTTTTTTTTTTTTGTAGAGACGGGGTTTCGTTATGTTGCCCAGGCTAGTCTCAAACTTCTGGGCTCAAGTGACCCTCCCTCCTCTGCTTCCCGAAGTGCTAGGATTACAGGAGTGAGCCATAGAGTCCGGCCTCAGAATGTTTTTAAAAGTAAGCTTCCCAGGTGATTCTTAGGCTTATTAAAGTTTCTTCTGTAAACTTTTTTTTTTAAAAAGTATAACACATTCATTAAAGTTAGAGGATTATAGGGTTAGAATATCTCTAAGGTCCCTTCCAACACCAAAGAATTCTAAGAATCAAGTCCATTCAACATATTTTCCCATGGGCATGTTTAGTAAACATGCAACTCTGTGACAGACTGTAATTTTGCTTCATGTGCAAAGGTATCTCAGTGATTTGGAAAAACTGACTTTTTTTTTTTCAAATATGTGGCCTCCGTCAGAGGTCAGTTGACTGTCCAGAGAATGCCGTAGGTCCACTGCAAATCTGGTTCATGTTTGATTTTAATGTAGAAATTTCCATCTATTCTCTATGTAAACGCATAGCTCTATGGCAGAAAACTGTTGCCTGGGTGGGAAGAGGGTATCTGGTTGTAATTCTGACTTTATTACAGAACCAAACTGTATTATGGTCATTTAATCCTGAACTTCTTTGTCAACAAAACTCCAAACCCTGTGACCTCCCTCTCAGGGGGCCTGGGATACTAAAGTGATAAACAGAATTTAGATGCCTCTTGAAGTGGTACAAAGATCACTGTGTTAATAATTTCCCTCCAAGTAAGTTGGTAAAGTAATAGGCTTAGGAGAGTCTTCTAGTTACAAAGCAGTGAAGTTACTGCTTTTCTCAGGCAACTAGAAATTAATAGGAATTTTCTTGAAAGGACCATCTCTTCCAAATAATTTAGCCACCATTAAACTTGTCTGTCTGTCTTTCCTTCTTTTTCTTTTTTTGAGATGGAGTCTCACTCTCTCCCCCAGGCTGGAGTGCAGTAGCATGATCTCAGCTTACTGCAACCTCTGCCTCCTGGGTTCAGGTGATTCTCCTGCCTCAATCTCCCAGGTAGCTGGGATTACAGGCACGTGCCACCATGCCCAGCTAATTTTTTTTTTTTTTTAAAGTAGAGATGGGATTTTTGCTATGTTGGCCAGGCTAGTCTTGAACTCCTAACCTCAAGTGATCTGCCCACCTCAGCTTCCCAAAGTGCTGGGATTACAGGCTTGAGCCACCACGTCCAGCCTCAAACTTGGCTTTCTGCTTTTAAACTTTTATACAAAGCCTATATTTTTTGGATTATTTATTTCATGCCACATGAAGCAGGTGTGTAAGATTCCTGGTTTCTCACAAGTGAATTAACCTTTCATCTTTCTGTAGCCCCCTTAGTTTGCCTCAGTTTCCCCAGCTATGAAATGAAGGGGTAGAGCAACTGGACGCTTCATCCCTTCCAGCACACTTACACTTTACATTCATGCAGAGGAAGACAATAAGATGTAGGAAAGAGGCTGGGTGCAGGGGCTCACACCTGTAATCCCAGCACTTTGGGAGGCTGGGATCCCAGCACAAGGTGGATGGATTGCTTGAACTCAGGAGTTTGAGAACAGCCTGGGCAACATGGTGAAACCCTGTCTCTACCAAAAATAACAAAAAATTAGCTGGGCATGGTGGTGCATGCCTGTGGTCCCAGCTACTTGAGAGGCCGAGGTGGGAGGATCGCTTGAGCCTGGGAGGCAGAGGTTACAGTGACCTGAAATAGCACCACTGCGCTCCAGCCTGGGCAACAGAATGAGACTGTCACACACACACACACACACAAAAAAAAAAAAAAAAGTAGGAAAGAGCATGACTTCGAATTTGGATAGAACTAGGTTGGAATTTTAAGCCTCAGTTTTCTCAACTGTATAGTGGTGGTGGTGGTGGGCTGGGGGGTAGTGATATGTTATCTCCTGGGCTAATAAAAGCATCTACTATAGGGCTTAGCACAGAAATTCATTCTAGAAAGCTGAGGCTCCTTGGCTCCCTAGACCCCTTCTCTGTCACCCAGGTCTTTCAGCCCACACCTGGGTAGGCCTCTTCTTACTGACTGAGAGAAGGAACCCTTGGTCCTTATTCAAGTGCAGAGACAAGCTCTCTGGGAGGGCAAAGCCATCAGCCCTGTGAGTAACAGGTTCTCTGTCGCTTCCTGGCCTTGTCATCACTTAAGTTACTATTTCAAGTCTGGCTGAAATGTGGCAGGAGGTAACCACAGAACTGAAAGGGTCACTATTGTTATAGATGCAGTGGGGGCTCACAAGGGCCCTGCAGCAGATCCCCAATATCTTCTCTCTGGGGATCAGGTCGGGTCACCTTTGTTCTGCAGGGAGGGGACAGGGATGCTAACAGCAGTTGAGAGCTGGAAGCACCATTGAAACCTGCCTCATTAGAGAGGAGCAAACCAAAGGACAGAGAGAAGTGACTTTCCCATGATCACACAGCCAGTCAAGCAGCAGAGGTGAGAAGAGCCCCTCTGGATCCACTAGAGTTCGCACTCAAGAGCCTCTGCATTTTAATGCAAATGTTATAAGTATTGATTAAGAGCTTGGAATTTGGAGATAGATGGCTGGGCATGAGGCTTCACCTCTCAGGAACTCAGTGGTCTCATCTATAAAAGTCCTATAACAAACCCTACCCATTGTGAGGATTAAAAGCCACACTGCCTGTAGAGTGCTTAACACAGAACCTAGCACATAATTAGCTTCCACAACAGGTGGTTCTAAATGATCATTATTTGCGATTCAAGGAAACACTGCCAACCTCTTTTTCTGTACCTCCAGTTCCGATCTGAACCTCCCTCTGCGAACCCCTTATGCCACGCTGTGGCTCCTTAGTCAAGGCGCCGAGAAGCCCTGGTGCCAGGGCAGGGCGATCCTCGGGGCTCACCTGGCGACGCCAGCAGCACCTTCGCCCCGCAACATTGGAAGCAGTGCAGCAGGGACTTCGCGCGGATGTTGTAATTGAGGCACGCCATGGCACAGCCCAGCTTCACCAGCCCCAGCCACAGCCACACGTAGGCCGGCTCGTTACCCATAAAGAGCGCCACGCAGTCTCCCTGGCGCAGGCCGAGGTGGTCATGCAGCGCCCGGGCCACCTGGTTGCTGCGCTGGTCCACTTGCGCGTAGGTGAGAGTCTCGTCGCGGAAGAGTAGAAAAGGCTTGTGTGGAGTCTGGCGCGCTTTCTCCAGGAACGCCCGCAGGATGGTGCGAGCCGGCCGCCGCTGCCCGTAGCTGCGCGCCCTCCGGCCCACGGCGGCTACCTTCAAGAAGTAGCCCACGTCCTGGAAGAAGTAGGGACAGCAGAGGTTCACCAGGAGCGGCAGGAACAGCAGCCCCGCCAGGACTGTGTAGATGGCGGAAAGCATGACGGCTGCGGGGCCCTCTGTCCCAGCCAGGGCAGAGGGCGCACCCCGGGCGTGCAGCGCAGCGACTAGGCAGGCTCCGGGCGGACTGGCGGACTGGCGGGCTGCGCCGGGGCGCACGCGGCGGGACGCCGGGCTCGTAGTGAAATGAAGGGGAAGACAGAGCTCCTCCGCTGCAGGCACCGCCGCAGGCTCCGGGGCAGGTGTAGTTGTGTGCGGGCTGCCGGGGGTTCCGGGCCGGACTGGCCGGCAGAGCCCGCCCCCTTGTGGGGTGCAGCCACCTGCGCGCCCGGCCCGCCCACGCGGTCCTCCCCGGGCTGGGCAGGCTGCCCTGCGGCTCACCGGAGGCCTCGGCTACCTCCCCGCCCGAGTCTGGAGGTCTGGGGTCAAGTCTGGATCCCCTCGCGTTGTGACCGAAGTACTTTACCTCAAGGAGCCACAGTTTCTTTAAATGGTAATAAGACGCAGTTAGCGGACGTTGAGAATACTAAAGGAGATAATGCAGGCGTGGGGCTAGAATTTGTTACCACTAATGGAGTGGCTTATGGAGATGACACTGTTGTTACCGATGAAGTGCCTTATAAATGTCAGACAGTCCTATTATTTATTAATAGCGGGTACCAGGTGCCACTGCCAAACCAGAATCTCATCTCTGCTTCCTGGTCCCAAGGGCTTTCCGCCTGGTCTCTCTTCGTTTCTCAGATTTGCTTCCCAGTCCGACTGCCAGGCGGTCTCCTGTAGCGAAGGCTTCAAGGTTGAACAGAAAATGTCCGCGGCAGTCACGTCCAGCTCATCCCAAGCCCTGCCCGGTGAGTGAGGGCAGGACACCCTAACCTAGTCGGCCCTGCCCGGCCAGGGTAGTCCTGATTTCGTGAGGAGCAGTGCCACACATCACCACGTGAAATCAAGCTTTGACATTATTTTAAGATTTTGTTCTGTTAAGTGATCCTGCTGTTCCCTCATGTTGAAAGTTCGCAAGTGTTGTCAGCACAGTTCACACATTTACTAAGGTGGCTCTGTCAGAGGATAGTATAGTACAGAGGTCAATGAGTAAGTGGTACTGGCATGTCTCAGAAACCATTTCTTTTAGAGGAAATGTGAACCTTTCTTTTAATTTGCCTTAGTGCTACTTCTGTACAAAGTGAATGTTCACTACTTGCCACTGAAGAGGGTCAGGATCTAAGTAGTGTTTTATTTTCATCCTCTCCTGTCCTCCTGTGTTCCTCTACCTTAATTTGATACGATAAATACAAATAATGCTTACTCCTCCCAGACACGCTGCTAGAGGCTTCCCTATGTTACATTTTGGGAGCCTCCGTTATTTTATACAGGTGGCACTTTCATGCTCATTTGCAGACAAGAAAGAGAAGCTTCGGTGAATTGAGACAGCTGGTAAGTAATTCGTGGGTTTTGGAACTGGTGTCTGTTTGGTCCCGGGGAACCAACTCTTAGCTTATTCTTGGTAACTATATTATGCTGTCCTCCTATTCTCTAGGTTTCTGTCCATGTCCTCTTTTTTTAGGTGTGTGTAAAGCACACAGAAATGTTTCACATTCCCTCCAGGCCACCCCCTGCTGTTTTTTAGCCTCCTTTTCCTTATCCCTAGTAACTGCTCAAGCAACCTTTCCCTTTTCCTGACTTTCTCATTTCTGATCCAGTTACCTGGTTGCATCATTTCCCTGGGGAAGAGTTGAGGGCCTTCATCATCCCTGAGGAGAAAGCAGTAGAATTAACCAAAGTGAGGGCCCAACAGAAACCATTCTCATGTGCACTTCTTTCATGTTGAAGCTCAGAGCCAGCCCTTCCTTTTTCATCCCAATGCCATCCTCATCCCTTGATGGCTAGTCACTTCTGTGTAGCCACCTGCACCCCTCTTTTCCTTAAACAGCTACTGCCTACCCAGAGTGCTAGATTTTTCCCCTCTTATTCTGAGGATCACTTTAACCTCAGTTGGAAGTAAAAGAAAACAAGACCCAAGCTAGCTGAAGCAGAAACAGGAATTTAAGCAGTAACTGGCGAGTCCGGGGCCAAGACATCAAGGATTTTAAATCTATGGCTTGAATGCTGACACCTGGATCTAGTTTCACTTTCGCTATTTCTCCTCTGCACCTCCTTGTTCTCATTCAGGCTTTCCTGTTGTTGCCCAAAGATGGCTGCCAACAGCCCTTAGGGGTACATGCTTTCTGGCTCAACTTCAGAGAGAAATACAAGAATCATCTTCTTAGGAGTTCTCATTAAAAAAAAAAAAAAAAAAAAATCCCTAACTGGATTATGCACCCATTCCTGAACCAACGTCTGTGGGTCCTGGGAAAAAAGGTGCTAGTTGTTTTAAGCCAATCAAGGCTCACACATGGGGCTGAGAGTACAATCAATTTCACCTAGGCCATTTTATGGAACATTTTAGGGTATTATTAAAAAGTGGAGTTAGGGAGAATAAATCTGGGGAAGTAATTTGCAAATGTCTATAATACATACCTCAGGAGTCCCAGTGATTCCAGCTTTGAGCCTGGGATCCAGCTCTCGCTCTATCAAGAGGTCAATAGATGTCTTAGTCTCTTTGGGCTGCTATAACAAAATACTGTGAGCTGGGTAGTTTATAAACAGCAGCAATTTATTTCTCAGTGTTCTGGAGGCAAGTCTAAGATCAAGGTGCCAGCAGATGTAGTGTTTGGTGAAGGGCTACTTTCTCATAGATGGTGCCTTCTCACTGTGTACTGTTTCGTAGAAGGGACAAATTACCTCTCTGGGGCCTGTTTTATGAGGGTACTAATCCCATTCATGAGGGCTCCGCCCTATGATCAAATTACTCCTCAAAGGCTCTGCCTCCTAATACCATCACATTGGAGGTTAGGATTTCAATATATGAATTTTGTGGGGGACATGAACATTAAAACCACAGCAATAGTCTTCCTAGAAATATTGCTGCCATCTTATATCTCCAGTTCTCAATTATCTTTAGTGGTTCCCCATCGCTTCCTATTGTCTTCCACCAATGACATCTATAGACAGTTGTATTTGTACAGCATACTAGAACATACCTGGCCTAGAGTTGACCAGGTGCCCTGGCTTCTGCCTGACTCCTTTGAAAGGTGATCGATAGCTTAGCACATTGGCTGCCCATTCTTGGTACATCTCTTGGGAACCTCTGGTCTATAAAATGAAATTTAAACTTTATTTTCTGGCTCTTCTGAATCTGACTCAAGCTTTCACTACACTCAATTAACAAATATTTATTGAGTAACAAATATTTATTGAGTTTCTACTATGAACCAAACATCATTAGGTATTAAATATTTTAAAATGGACCAAAACTTAATTCTAACTATTCCTTTTCAAGGGCACTTTGTTTATAGCAAGGCTGGTCTGCTAAAAACCTAAAAATGCCCTGCACCTTCCTCTTTCTACTGGCTTGTTCTTACCACTTTCTACCCCTGAACATCCTAACCCTGTAAATCTCAACTCTCCTTTAGGGCAGAAGTTCTTTGATTCCTGAATTTCTTAGTCCAGTAGTGTTGTATTTCAAAACCAAGTTAGGGACTCAAAAAAGGTAACAACTTCTTAATTTTTCTAGCAAAAACAACCCCCTCCCCCATCACAGTGTATTTGTTTTTTTATAGAAGAATGACGTTTTTGGCACTAAAAAAGTATACTTGAACTGTACACTTAAAAATTGTTAAAATGGTTAATTTTTATGTTATGCATATTTTACCACAATTTTTAAGACAGTAACAACAAACATATAGCCCTTTCCAAGAAAAGAAGACAATGTTACACCAACATAAAAAGTACAGAAATTATCCAAGTATAGTGGCATGCATCTATAATTCCAGCTACTCGGGAGACTGAGGCAGGAGAATCACTTGAGGACTGGGCCACAGAGTGAGACCCCTTCTCATATAAAAAACAAAACAAAATAATCTTACAAATTCTCACAAACAGATAAAAATAAAAAAGAAAATATTTTAAAATGTAGAAAACTGTAACTTTTTTCTGGGTTTTTATACCATATAGAAATTGTTTTTATACAAGTTTGTCTATTCAGTAACGTAAATTCCACAGTGAAATATGAAATAGAGCCAGATCTTTTACTTTGATATAATTTAGGATTTTGTCAGCACTGGGATCTCAGACATGGAGATTCTCCGTCCCCATAGCCTTAGTTAAGCCTCCTCATCCCACTCCTCCCATTCTCCAACATTATTGAGCCTACTCATTATCAAGTTTTTGGTCCCTTCCTGGCCAGTCACTTCAATGTGGCCTCCTAGACCCCACTTTTCCTTAAACTTTCTATCCAGGTATAGATGACCTCAAATGCCCACTGTCTTCTGTCCTATTCTAGGTATTGCAGGAGAAATTTAGGGCCAGACAGGATTACTGGGTGTGCATATTGACACCTTCTAGCCTTGGTCAGGACGTTCATCCCTATCATCTATCTCTGCTCTTTGAGAGAAGGCTTCCTAATGGCAGTCCCAGACCTTCCCTACCCCCTTCAAAATTCCCAATCCCAATCTCAAATGTTCTTTTAAAGTAGGTGGCTTCCCTTCCTACTTTATGGAGATGACATAGTTCACTGTTTCTCAAACTTTACAAGCCTGAGAATCACTTGGGGAACATGCTAAAACATAGTTCATTAAACCCCATCTCCAGAATTTCTGATTCAGTGGGTCTTGGGTGGGGCCAAAGAATTCACATCTCTAAGAAGTTACCAGGTAATGTTGACACTGCTAGTCCAGGGACTATGAGAACTACTGATTTAGTCCATTGGCCTCCAAACTACTCAGTAGAGCCCTAGTGGCTGAGAAGCCACTGAGGAGAGTTCATTGCAGAGTGGGTAAGGGGCTCTGGGAGGATCCTACCCTAGCTCCAATCAAAACAGCTCATATACCTGTTTTACACTTCCATGTAGAGTTCACGTGAAAAAAAGTATTCCCAAACTTTTTCCTTTAAATCTTACAGCCCATGCTGGTCCAGCCCTTGTATTGAACTTAAAAACCCATCGCATAGCTTGGTTTTCGATTGTTTCTTACCTGTCAGTTTTGCCTTCATAACTAGAATTCAATTTTCTGGAATAAAGTAATAGAAAAGGTTGTGAGACTTGAAGCCAGAAGACCTGATTTTGAGTCTTTATCTGTCATGTATTGGCTGAGTAGCTTCGAGAAGTGTACTGAGCTCTTACAGTGACTTGTGTGAATTTTGTAGAATTTGAGGCACCTAATGCACAGGGCTATTCTTGACAAAAAATTATAGATTATGAAACTTGCCATTTTTGTGACGTTACATACTTGCTACGAATATAAATTTTGTGTGACTGACTCATTCAGTGGTTTGTGGGAAGAATAATCTCTGACTGTGGTTGCCATAAGTTAATCACATTTCTTGAAATGTAGGTGCCTGTTATCCTATTGACTGTTTAGCATGGTGCCATCTGAGTATAGACATACAAGTGTCAGGCCTCTGAGCCCAAGCTAAGCCATCATATCCCCTGTGACCAGCATGTATACATCCAAATGGCCTGAAGCAACTGAAGATCCACAAAAGAAGTGAAAATAGCCTTAACTGATGACACTCCACCATTGTGATTTATTTCTGCCCCAAACTAACTGATCAATGTACTTTGTAATCTTCCCCACCTTTAAGAAGGTTCTTTGTAATTCTCCCCACCCTTGAGAATGT